TTTACAGTTTTTATATCTGTGTTCTAGTATTGCTGAAGGCCTGGAGCATGTGTGGTTTTATTTATGCTACTTGTTTAATTTTTTTATTGATTGTTGGTGAGGATATGTGGAGAGATTAGGATTTAAGTGGCTGCCATTACCCTTCAGACCAATGATCTGATCTTCCTAAGATCTCTGTAAGGTATACTCTGTATACTTCCTTTATACAGAGTAGTATAAATCTCTGCTGTAATACTAGCCATATTAGAAGCATGTATTTTTCCTCCATAAGTCACAGTACAGATAGCATATGCAGCTTGTGATAGGAACATTCAGGTTATTTGAGCCCGTTTTAAACTTTTCTTGTCCCCCTCTTCTGTTAAATAGGGTGTTAGCTTCAACTTGAAAATTTTGTGAATCTGTGACTCTTCATACTTTGATAAACCTTGTCTGTCTTTATTCTGCCCTTGTTATTGAGCAGTGTGCTCAATACAACTTTGGCCTTTATTTGGATATTATTAGAGGCCAGTGCCATCAGATGGTGGCTTCACTGTGGTAATTTACTGTTTTGATTATCTAATCTAAATGATAGGACTGACAGTTCTTTGGCTAATGACTAAACCAATTGCTCAAGTACAGCCTTTCTGTATCAGGTTGAGTAGATTGTGGTATATTTAATCTGAGTTACCTCATTTGATTGATTCTTGCTGGGGCAGCCTCTTTTTTTCAAATGTTTTTTATTGTAGTCCGAATTTTCAAATACAGCTCCTTTGAGTGTTACATTAAACTAATGTGGCTAGAATTAACTATCATTTAAAAAGCAGAAAAAGATTACATTGTCTTTTACAAAATTAGAACATGTAAGATAAATCTAATGTGCCCTTTGATGTCAACCTGAGCCTTGTTCTGCCTTACTATAGTTAACCATTATTACGGGTGTTGTATGCCGAGGAGGTTGCTGTTTCAGATGGACGTGGCTCATTGAATCCTAGGAGTGAATAAGGAAGAGAGTGTGTTTATGTGTGTGTGTGTGTATTATTTATACACACACACACACATACATACATACATATATATATATATATATATATGTATTTTTTTTTGGATGTTAACCCCTCATCAGATATATGATTTGCAAATATTTTCTCACATTTGGTAGGTTGCCTTTTCATTTTGTTCATGGTCACTTTTGCTATGCAGAACACAAGCCGTTATGCAGCACAATAAAGATAACTACATGGTACCCACTTAGGTAGACCAAAAGCTCCAAGAAGTACAACTTGACTGAAAGACAGTTATTGTGAGAATTTAAAATACCCCTTTCAGAGTTTGATGTATGAAAAAGAAAAAACATAATCAGTGACATAAGAGAATTTGAGTAATATAGTCAGCAAGCTTGATTTGGGGATTCACTTGGATCCCATTTTGAAGACATACTTGAGAATGTGCTCCAGCCAGCTAAGAGTGAAATTTAAAATGTGAGATGGAAGAAATGGTGGAACTAATCTGAGATTCCAATAAAAAGAATTAACAGAATGAAAGCTGGGCAACATTCCTAGAAAGCAGTTCATCCAAATTAGAATCAGAACTTAGTGGGATCCTGGAATTTGCCTTAAAAAAATGAAATGACTCTGAGAAATGATACAAGATATATATCATATGATTATAAAACTGAGAAATGCTAGTGGTATGGGGGAAGAATGCCCATGTATCTTCTCTTATAGAAGGATAAAACAACAGAAAAACTGTGCAAAGATATCTTGTTACAAATACCACACAAAATGTTATATGAGTTGGAGTATTTGATGACGTGCATGAAAGAATCCATTTGAACTAGACCCTGGCCATAGTTTGTGTTTAGGGCCATGCATCATGGCTGGCAATGAACTATATTTATGGCATCGTAATGTAAGTACTGTTGTTTTTCACTGCTCATAGTCTGCTTTATAGAAGAAACACAAAAAGGTGTCTCCTGTATGTTCATGAAACATTTAAAACTTTTTGTATATTTAGTTACAGAGAAAACTTCCTGGTGATTAAGAAGAACGAGATTTTGCATATTTCATTGCAGTGATTCAAAATATTAGTAGAAATCAACAAAAAATGGGTACTTGGAAATATGTAATATTCTTCCTGAAGAGAAAATTTCAAACTGATGCTACAGATTATCTAGAACTGTGCTTTCCACAATGGTAATGACTTGTCATGTGTGGCTAATTAAAAATATAAAATTCAGTTCTTCAGTGGTACTAAGCTCATTTGCTGTGCTTACTGGCTCCGTGTGGCTGGCAGCTGCCACACTGGTCAATGAAGATACCGAACATTTCCATTCTGGCACAAGGTTCAGTCGTATAACTCTGATCTAGAAAGTACTGTAAACAGAATCCTTTATAGACTTATGGTACATAACTAAACTGGTAGTGGGAGGAAACTGAAAGCCTTTATTAACTTGTGTGATTTAAAATAAAGACAGAAAATAATTAAGTACTCAACTTTTGATACTAGAAAAACAAGAAAGTAAGCCAAAAGGAAATAAGAGAAATTTAAAAAATGCTGAAAATAATGAGATAAAAATAAAACATGTAAATGCCAAAATTGATAGAAGTAGAGATTCTGAAGACTGTAACTTTTGAAAAGGAAATAAAAAGTGTATATATTAGTAATCATTATTGAGATAGCATTCCACTGAATTACATTTACCTTTTAAAAAGTAGATTGTACTTTTATTTATTCCAACAAATCATGGACAACTTTTTAATATATTTTTCTGAAGCTAGTGTAGTCTTATACTGATACTTGGTGAAGGTGATTTTTTTTAAAGACCAATTTTCAGAAGCAAAAATCCTAAAATTCTAAAATTTTAGCTAATAATAATATACTAGTAGAAGCACAGCATTTTCTTGGAATGCAAAGATAGTTCATAGTAGGAAACCTGTAAATATAGTTTATTGCATCAACAGATTAAAGGAGAAAATCCATGTTACTCTATTAGTAAATGCTGAAAAGGAACTTGATAAAATAAAACACTTGAGTGTTGTAAGAATAATGGAAGAAGCTGTTCCAGTTAGGGGAATAATCATAGTGTCTACCATAGAGGGCTGTTGTGAGGATTTAATGACTTAACACATGTAGGAATACTTAGAGCAGTGTCTGGCACATAGAAATTATTCAGTGTTAGCGCTTTTTATTATTTAAACATGATAAAGTTGATTTGCAGAAAGAATAGTGTGTCAAATGGCAAAATTTTTTGATTAAAATTATGAACAAACAGAACTGTTTGTTCTTGCCACTATTTCAGAATTGTTTTTGAGGGGGTTTTCTTTCTCTGAATACAAGAACAGTAGAAAATGAAATAACTGATATAAATACTAAAAGAGGAATAAATTGTTCCACATGATATGACTTACATAACTAGAAAACCCAAAAGACTGCTGAACACTAGTATAAATACTCAGATAAATTTAACAAAATGGTTCTGTAGCAAGAAACTGAAGAAAATGATTATATCTTTAAGTTAGAATTTAAGGAAAGTCAAACCAGATCTCAATCGAAATTGTCAGTCTTTCTAAAATTAATATATAAATTTCATTAATTCCAGTTAGAAACCAAGTGCATTATTTTATGAAATTGTATAAGGCAGTTTTTTTTTTAGATAAGTATTTTTTATTGAAGGGTAGTTGACACACAGTATTACATTAGTTTCAGGTGTACAACAGTGATTTAACATTTATATACATGATAATTCTAGGTACCAGCTATCACCATACCAAGTTGTTACAATATTTTGACTATATTCCTTATGCTATACATTACATCCCGGTTACTTATTTATTTCACAATTGGAAGTGTGTACTTTTTTTTTTTGTGAGGGCATCTCTCATATTTATTGATCAAATGGTTGTTAACCACAATAAAATTCTGTATAGGGGAGTCAATGCTCAATGCACAATCATTAATCCACCCCAAGCCTAATTTTCGTCAGTCTCCAATCTTCTGAAGCATAACGAACAAGTTCTTACATGGAGAACAAATTCTTACATAGTGAATAACATTACCAGGGCAGTCATCACAGAGGCTTTTGGTTTTGATCATGCTTTGTGAACTATAAACAGTCAGTTCAAATATGAATATTCATTTGATTTTTATACTTGATTTATATGTGGATACCACATTTCTCTATTATTATTATTTTTAATAAAATGCTGAAGTGGTAGGTAGATACAAGATAAAGGTAGAAAACATAGTTTAGTGTTGTAAGAGAGCAAATGCAGATGATCAGGTGTGTGCCTGTAGACTATGTGTTAATCCAAGCTAGACAAGGGCAATAAAACATCCACATATGCAGAAGATTTCTCTCAGAACAGGGGGGGGGAGGTTCTAAGCCTCACCTCTGTTGATCCCCATTTTCTCACCTGATGGCCCCCCTGTGACTGTGCCTGTTTTAGGTTGTTCCTCCCTTGAGGAATCTGTATAAGGCAGTTTTAAAGTTCATGTGGAAACTATATTTCTAAAACTACCCAAGAAAATATACCAATAATCTAATCCTATTTTTGTAAATAGTCTCTTCTCCTCCCTGCTATAAACATATTTATTTGGAGAAAGTTGGGGAAGAAAACAACCTTGCCATTAATGGCATTTTTTCCCCCTAAACCTGAGTGTAGAATCCATGGGAACTTGCAGGAGTGATCATGTATTATTTCTTAATATATTTCTTGACTCTTTTGCTTGTTGCAAGGAATATATACTTCTTATTATTTTTATTTGATCTAATATAGAGAAGATAATAGAAAAAGTTCAAAGACTTCTCATTCTTTGCAATTGTACTTAAACTGGAAATAAATGTCTATCACTGACTTAGGAGAGTTTACGGAAGTATCTTGGATTTTTTTTTTAACATTTCAAAAAACAAATATATTTTCTTTTAGCTCTGCCAAGCAGTTGGTGCTTTCTACAATGGCAAAATTAATTTTTTACTAAAATATTCTGAAAAAAATGTTCTTATTTTTCTCTCTCTGTCAAAGGTATGCAGCCACTCATGTATTCAGTTCAGGAAGCATTAAATGCCAGACCATGGTGGGTTCGTGTGGGGACTGACATTTGTTACTATAAGTAAGTATTCTAACGAATAATAGAATATCAGCTTATAGAAGGGGATATCAACTTAACTCTGTCTCAGTTTAAAATAAAAATTGAGTTATTTTGTATTATTTGAATTGTGGTCATATACTTCAGTATTACTTCTAATAGTCCTTAAAAATTTGAAATCTACTTAGGGGTATATTTAGTGGAAATGTGTTTGTAGACAGACAGATTTAAATCCGTATCTTGTCTCCACCATTTAGATTGCTATGTGTTTTCAACTGTTTTAGCTTTGAAATTTAGGAAACTTCATTGAATAAAACTGAAATTAGAAACTCTAGGAAATAATTTGCAGTGGCTTTTTGTTCTAATGATTTAAATATATTTCTTACCTTTTCTCTTCTGCATACAAATGTTTACCCCATTTTAATTTCCAAAATATTTTATTTGGAGATGTATTCCAGTTACATTGTATCCACTTATGCAATTCAACTTTGACTTCAAATAGATTATTTACTTACCAAGTTAAAAACAAATGCTAGAAATCATTTGTTGCCTCAAAGGAATAATTGGATTATTCTTCAACTTCACATCTAAGTAATGTAGGACAATCATGTACTTTGCTTCCCATTTTTAATCTGTTTGTATATGCAATATGTTTCCAGATAACTTCGATTTAATAGTGTGAATGGCTAAAAAAGGGTGGGGTTCTAAAATTTTTATTGATGTGGAGAGTATTAGTTCCATTTAGTTAGTAAATCCAGAAGTGTGAAAAGTAATATGGGCTGATGGCAATTAACTGCTGCATTAGTAAGTACCAACTTTTTTATAGAGTACTTAAGTAAAACTTTTTACAAACCGTGGTTTTTCTTTTTCTTGAAGTTCTGTTTAATAAAAGTAGCAAGGAAAATTAGAACTTTTCTGTGGATGAAATAAACAATGTTTTAATGTTTTTCTGTTGTAGAAATCACTTCTCAAGAAGTTCAGTTGCTGCAGGTGGGCAAAAGGGAAAATCCTACTATACCATTACATTTACTGTCAATTTTCCACATAAGGATGATGTTTGCTACTTTGCTTATCACTATCCATATACGTATTCAACTTTACAGGTGAGGACTCATTAAGTTGTTTTATTATGATTATTGTGTTATATGCATATGTGTCAAACAATTGAAAAAAAAATTGCTTCAATTATTTTAATAAAATAAGAAAAAGGATCCAATGCTTAAGATTTTAGAAAATAATGCAGTATTTGTTGAAAACAGTCATGGGAGTAAAATGGGAATTTACTTTTTATTTTTATTTAATAGAAATACTAGAGAAATTTGATATTAGTTTTCTATCTTTCTGTAGGAATCTGTAATTCACTAAGGTTCCATGATTTACAAATTTTAATAACTAGGTGAGATTTCCACTTGTTTAATGAGAAACATTTGTAACAGCAGAAAAATGTTCAAGTTTCTCTGTAGGGATTTAATTTCTCTCTTAGGGGTTTTATATGGAGTATAAAGAGTTGTGGGTTCTTTTGAGATTGTTTGGATATTTGCATTGTAAAAAAAAAAACCGGACAAATTAATTTAAATAATTACTGTGGTAGATTAATTCTCAGAACAGAAAGCGCTAATAATCAAAGGTAATGAAGGTATGATCAAATTACACAGAAAGAAATTGGAACGTTATGATTAGAAACAAGCCAAGTTAAAGCTTTCCAGGAAAAAGGAAAAAAAAACATAGTCCATAGAACAGAAGCGTTATCAAGATTGAGAACACAGAATGAGGCTCACGTTGTTTTATTAAAGGTTATAACCCATAATGAAAGCATTGTTTGTGCTAGATAGCATAACATCAGAATATATGTGTTATTTATAGGGTTACAATTTATTATTCTTTACTGAAGTTACCTTTTTAATATAATTTGAATTCCCCTACTTTGTTCTGGTCCCATGGAACTGCCATGTCTTTTTCCAGGCATTACCATGGTTTCTCACTTGGACTTCTGCCAACCTCTTTCTAACTGCTGTCCTAGAATTCACTCTCAGCCCCTTTCCTCTTCATCAGTCTTTTAACACACTGTAACCAGAGGGTTCTTTGAGGGCAAATCTAAATCCACTTCAAGCTCCTTAGTGATATCTGTTGCCATTTGTATGGGGTCTGGAATTCCCACCAGGTTTCATTCAGTCATTTCTCTACTATTTTACATAATTTTTGCCATATCCACATACTGTTTGATCTATTCTTTACTTAATAGTTATCTTTAAATAAACTTTAAAATAATTCACTCTTTAAGGGTAATCCTCATACTAAGTTAATAGCCGTAGAATTAATTCCCAGTAAAATGCATTCCTTTTTTTTTAAGGTATCCATATATCACTTAGTTATCTCAGTTACCAGTGATCAGCATAGTATGCTCTGGGAAAGACTTATCTATGGGGCCTTTCATTCTGTGTTAAATCCTATTTCTCACCCTTTCTGGTCTAGCTCTAGTGAGTCATTTTTAGTTCTTTAAAACACCTTTTTTCTTTCTTATTTAGTGGTCTTCCTATGTTTCTTCCCTCCTGAGTGCAGCACTCTTCTCCAACCTCATCCTTTGGATCTCAGTTTTAATGTAATTTTTTCTAGAAGACCTTTCCTCACCACCCAGACTTGGCTAGGCTCCCTCTCCTGTTTACAGGCTCTTGTAGCATTCTGTTTTCCCATGGTAGGGTCCATTTATTCATTGCTCTATCCTTGGTATCTGCCAATTTCTGGCACAGAAATAGTGACTTAACAGTAAATAGTGATTATGTGAATGAACATATCCAAACTTTTGGAAACCAATTAAGTATCTTAAAATAGGGGTTGACAATTTATTTTTGGTATAACCATATACTAAAACCATGAAAAGTTGTATTTTCAGAAGATGCATACTTAACATATTTAGTGATATGGTATAGAATCATAATTACCAATATATGTGTGTGTATGTATAATTTATTAAGTGATGAAAGCAGGTTACAAAAAGCCTTACATGTTATTACAGTTTTGTTTATATACATTGGTATTTATTTACTAATTTATTTACTTTAAAATAATTCACTCTTTAAGGGTAATCCTCATACTAAGTTACTACTGTAACCTAGGTAATGCAGTTTATGTTTTTTCTTTGTACATTCTGTGTCTTCCAAACATTTTACAATGAACCTGTATTAATCTTGAAATCAGGGAAAAATTGTTAAAAGTGTGCTACAATTTTCATTCTGCATGTTTTAGATTGCTATTTCAGGTATACAGTCACCGACAATTTCAAAATTCACAAGGCTTTGAAAACCAAACGCTTTTTCATAACCCATTTGGCAGGAAATCCTGGCCTGAGTTAATGTGAGCTTATTTAGAATATTGATTCCACTTAGAGTGACTCTTACATGTTTTGGTGCTAAAAATAAAAATGTGTCCATTGCAGGCTCTTGACCCCACTGGTGTTATAGCACAATTAATGGTATATGCACTGTCTCTCTCCCCTTCTCAACTTCCCCAAATACTGATGCTTGAACTACATCTGGCTCCCTAAGGGTTTCAGAGAAGGGATTATTAATCTGATTCACTTTTTAGATTATGTAGAGATCTGGATGCATTTATTTCTATTTATCATAGGGAGTTTTTGAATGATTGTATACTTTGCTTTTAAATTTTTATCAAGATGCATCTTCAAAAATTGGAATCAGCACACAATCCTCAGCAAATCTATTTTCGAAAGGATGTGTTGTGTGAAACCCTGTCTGGAAACACCTGTCCCTTGGTGACTATAACAGCAATGCCAGAGTCTAATTATTATGAACATATCTGTCAATTCAGTAAGTCTGTCTTCTTCACTCAAAATACCAATTATTCTTACTTATTATTATTATTTTTGCTTCATATATATTTTGTAAGGGCAGTAATACTGGGAATGGGCATCAGAAGTCTTGGGTTCAAGTTTTGGTCCTGTTACTGCATATCCCAGGGCCTACTTCTGGGTCTCAGTTTGCTCATCTTGAAAATGAGGGCACTGCCTGAGAGATTTCCAAGGTCTCTTTTGATAGTAAGATTCTGTAGTTTTTAACGTTAGAAGTCATACCCAAAGTATAATACAGCAAATTATTTTAAGAGTTCATGTAATAATATCATTAATTAAAAAACTTAATTTTATTTATGAATAAAACCACTTAAAAACCTATTAAGTGTTTTGATGCTAGCTGTAGTTTCTTTCTGCCATTTGTATTTTTAAAGTTGCCTCAAATATACAGCTGTAGTAGAAAAAACAAAAAAACTTCTAATTTTGATAAGATGAAGTATTTTAGGAAAAAGAGCTTGCTTGCTGTGCATGAAAATATGAGTAGGTAAACTGCATGGTGGTTTTGTAGATGTGCAAATCTAAGTGTATAATGAAAAATATTTTCCTTCGCGAATTTCTAAGTACATACACATTTTTTTTTCTTGTGCTTATAGTTACTATAAAGCAGGGATAAGATTTTATTTTCCTTCTTTTCCCCATAACTGTATGAAAAATAGATTTATATTTAAAACTTCCCCAATGACTTGTTCTTTCTAAAACCAAGATTATATTTAAAAACTATTTTTAGATATTAGATGTTAAGTAAGTGACTCAAAAACTGTTGTGTTGTTTTCATATTTTTAACTTTTAGGGCATGGTTTACATGGTTTTGTGTATCTGGTTTCTTCTATAGGGCCTAGTGCAGTGCTTGTATGTAATAGTAGGTACACACAGTGAGGTCTACGAATTTATATCAGAATTCACAGCTGAGTAGAAATATTTTAAAGCCCCAAAGTCAAACATCATACAAACTTTCAGTAGCTATTCTTTTTAATACAAGATTTTATGTGTACTTTAGGAAATCGCCCTTACATTTTCTTGTCTGCTCGGGTACATCCTGGAGAAACTAATGCAAGTTGGGTAATGAAAGGAACATTGGAGTATCTCATGAGTAATAACCCTACTGCTCAGAGCTTACGAGAATCTTTTATTTTTAAAATTGTCCCTATGCTAAATCCAGATGGTGTCATCAATGGAAAGTAAGTTAAGCAATAGTTATAGAAATATTATAGATTATTGTGGCTGTCCTGTATAAACTTATTGAAATAATAGCATCTAGGTGAATTTGGAAAAGAAACCTGATTATTCTAGAACAAAGGGGTAGGGAGTTCATCTAAGATAGATTTTTTAATGAAAATATATTTTGTATGTTAGTAGTGGTATAGCATTTCGATAAATTGTGTATTCATGAGACTATTTCATAAGATGCATGTCTTGCTTGAATTATTTAGGAAAAATTACAATGTTAAGATATGAGAGATTTTTTAACACATCTTTTATATTTTTTATTTGTCAGGGGTGTGATCTGAGGTTGTTTTAAGATTTAGTCTTCTGAAATCTCTTTCCACTGATAACGAATATTTGCTCTATCTGCTAACTTCTTTTTGAAAGGAGGAAGTGTAGTTTCTGACTTTTTTAGACTGGAAATACTGAATGAGAACTTCTTTTTTAGAGCTTATAGTTAGTACAGTTCATTTATTGTGGCAATTAGACAAGGTGTCTATAGTGTTTTTGAAAGATGGAATTTTAGTCTAGCTGTCATGAGCATCTCCACATTTGGTGATATATTTTATTCAGTAAAGGTAGCATGAATATTTCTCATATTTTAGGAAATTTTTGAGTTAAATAGAATAATTTCTTTTTAGGTAGTATGTTATGGGGTTATGGAAGTAAAATGACATTTCATGTCTAGTTTTAATTCAGCAGCATACTGATTAGTTAGAATTCTGCTTATATTTATGTCATCTGATTGTTTGCTTAAATATTTGCTCAGTCACTTCAATACTTAATACCTATGATTTAATGACAATGTATTTGAATTTTTACAAGGATGTATACTTTTCATATATTTATCTTTCTTAGAAGGAGGTCCCAGATGGCACTTTTATATAACTAATATAATCAAAGTACAGTCAGGAGAAAATCTATCCATTTATAAATTTAGAGTATGGGACAAAACCCCAGAATTGAGAATTAATTTTTTCTATAGCTTGAAAATTTTGACCTATAAATCTGAAAACTCACCACAGTTAAGTTTATGTAATACAAGACCTGGTATATAGCCAATGCTTAATAAATGTTTATTTAATGATATAATATGAATTCTGTAGATCCCACAATCTGTATACCCATTTGAACTATCCAGTGGAATGGAATATTAAAATTAAATCACATAAATATAAGAATTTTTCGGTACCAATGTTTGTCTATCATTGTGTTTACATATGTGTAGTCACCGCTGTTCTTTAAGTGGAGAAGATTTGAATAGACAGTGGCAAAGTCCAAATCCAGATTTACATCCCACAATTTACCATGCTAAGGGGCTGCTACAATACCTGGCTGCAGTGAAACGTTTACCCCTGGTAAGTGGCAGTATTTGTTTGTATAGTCTAAGAAATTATTTTGTTGATTAATGACTTAGTATTCTGTACATTATTTTCTTGTTATAAAAGCTGTGTATTAATTTCAAAGGGACTTTCTTTAAAATATCTTTTTCTGTATTTAATCACTTGTGTATAAATTATCTACATCCCCATTTCATCAGGTTTAATTTTTTTAATTATCATAAGTCCTTTTCTTTTTTGTTTATGAATATTGGTAACTCCTGGTTATAAGTTTTAGGTATTTAGCTTCACTGTTATCCTCCAAATTCCCAAACTAGTAGAAGCTTATTTCTGAGCTCTTTAGTCAGCTCTGAAGCAGTTAAGTCTCAAGTACACACATGGAAAAGGTAAGCATCAGCATGGGGGAGATCTGCTGAACTGTGTGTATATGCTGCTGCTGTTTTCAGCAGCTTTTGTTTAGAATGTTCTCATTGTGTTAGTGTTTAAATGAGTTAATCTTCCTTTGGGGAAGATAGCAAAACTTCACAGAGGGCATCATTGACATGCAAGTCTGTCCTTCATTTTTCATTTTTAAAATGATGCTCTTTAAAAATTAAACTGAAGCCATACCCTTATTTTAGTGTTTTTCATGAGAACATTTTCATGTTCTTTTAAATTAAGTAAATGTTTTAACAACCCTTGGGGCAGTCATGACAGTAACTGTAGATTTGACTTATGATTGAATTATTTTTAAAATGGTGAATAATAGGTACAAAAGAAGGAGTGGAACTGTGGCTTGATGCAGGACCTGCAAATGATTTAGCCAGTCTAGAATGAATTGTAGTTCCTTTCGAAAACTAGACATTGTTATTTTTATTTGTTTTGCTTGTTAAATGGTTACTCAGACTAAAAAGACCAGGGAACACAGACCTGTTTATTGGCTTGCTATTAACTAGCTTTACTTGGCAATATATGAGTTTGAAAGGTTTTAATTTTTAAAATATATTATATTTTCAAGGTTTACTGTGATTATCATGGCCATTCCCGAAAGAAGAATGTGTTTATGTATGGCTGTAGCATCAAAGAGACTGTATGGCATACCAATGATAATGCAACTTCATGTGATGTTGTGGAAGATGCGGGATACAGGGTAATTATTACAGATAGGTCAAGAGTTTTTGATTTTCAAACATGTATAAAACAACAGAAAATAATACAATGTACATGGAACTATTCAGAGCCAGTAAATGTTACCTTTTTGCCATTTTTGTTTTGGATTTTCCATTTTAAATATTTCTTCTAAAATTTTTGCTTTTTACATTTAGATTTTTTAATTTACTTGGAATTTATTTTTGTATGAGAATTGGAAATCTACTTTTAGTTTTGCCTTGTACAACCAGTCATCTCAGCACCATTTATTACAGAATACATCTTTCTTCTGCTGCTGTTATAAAGCCATTTGTTACATATCACATAGCCACATGCGTGGGTGTGTTTTGAAGTAGCCTAGGACTGAAATGAGGTCTTAAGGCTTCAGGTCCTGTGTGCTTTCTCTTCCCTCACACTGTCTTTGCTCCTCCTGTATCCCTAAAGAAGCACCCCAGGTTATTTTCCAGAACAGTTTGAGTAACAAACTACTGACCTATCAGAACTTCAAAGCACATTTTCTCTTGGGTATCCTCTTTCTTCTTCCCTTTCCCAAATAAATAAAATGATTACAGTCATATAGAAAATGGAAACACTCCAGAAATATACAATAGTAATAAGTGAAAATCATCTTCTCAGTTAATCACTAAGTAATCATTTTACCATATGTATTTGGGACTTGCTGCTAAGCACATTCATTCATAAATGTATGTACATATATGATATTTTTGTTTTTATTTATTTTAATGCTCCATAGCAACTTATTTTTTCATGTAATGTCTGTTGGCCATCTTTCCAGGTCCTCATATCTAGATTTTTCTCAGTCCGTTTACCAGTTACACAAGATTTTGATTGTGCATTTTTCTTTTTACTGTACAAACGTACCAAAATTTCTTTATTCAGTAGTCCTGTTAGTGGTCATTTGATTAGTATTGCCAAGTCGTCCTTCATAAAGATTGTACAAATTGACACTCCCCTGTTCAATGAATGATGGTGCTATTTCTCCATGCCTTTATTACATCAGACTGTCATATTTGCCAGGTGAAAAAAAAATCTGATGGTTTTAATTTGTGTAATTATAAATGAGGCTTAGTATCGTCTCATATGTTTGGCCAGTTACTATATCTCCCTCTATCTTAAGTCTTTTTTCATACTCCCTGATTACTTTTGTAATGGTCATACAATTATTATTGTTTTAAATATAAGAACTCTTTATGTGCATTAGAAATATATTAAAATTTTTTGTTTATGATGTGTAGCAATTTAAAACTTTCATTATAATTGTTGATTTTTAAAAAATATCTTCTGGGTTTGGAAGCTTAGAAATTCTGACTTTTATCATTCTAAGACTTTAAGTTATTCCATGCTTATTTATGGTTTTAAATTTCATTTAAAAATTTTACTTATTAATTATAAATTTGAATTCTCAATCTAGTTAGAATTCAATTTAATGATGAGTGGCTTCAGCCTGTTTTTCTCAGTGGCTAGCCAGTTGTGCTGGCATTTAGTGAATGTCAGTCTTTTCTCTACTACTAATAATAGTAACTTTAACAAATACCTTTGGTTCTAATTCTGAACTCTTCTCTCTATAAAAATATCTATTTCTATACCAGTGTCACAGTTTACCTTAAGTATATAATGTAGGTGATTATCTGTTGGATTATTTCTCCAATTATAGCCTCCTCTTTAAAAATTCCCCAGCTGTACCTCCCATATTTAGATTTACAGGTGAACTTGCAAAAAATATGGGCATTGTATCATGATTTTCTTAGCTTTATTAGTTTAGGAGTGATTGACATTTATAGTGTTAGATCTCTTGATTAGTCAACCATCTTTCATGACTAAAATTTCTTCATTTTTTAAATGTTTTCCTTCACATTTTTTAACCTGATTTTCTTAAATGGTTTTATTCTGGTTATTGGTTGCTACTATGAATGTGATTCTTTCTTCCATTCTATTTTCTGAATGCTATTTGTGCAGGAAATCAGACAATTCTAAATTAGTAAGAAAATTATTCTGATTCTGTGAGTAGCAGGAATATGGCAAGAAGATCCACATGCCCCTGTTCTAATTACTGTGCTTTCATGAAAGTTTTTAAAAAACTAAACCATTATTTTAATAAAATCCTCTTGAAATATTTTTTTTTGTATTTTTTATCTTTGCAGACTTTGCCTAAGATACTGAGCCATATTGCCCCAGCATTTTGTATGAGCAGCTGTAGCTTTGTAGTGGAGAAATCTAAAGAATCCACTGCTCGTGTTGTAGTTTGGAGGGAGATAGGAGTCCAAAGAAGCTACACCATGGAGAGTACTTTGTGTGGCTGTGATCAGGGAAAATACAAGGTAAAATATCTCTGGACTTCTGGCCATAAAAAACATGTGAAGGCTTTCTTTTCATATATAGTCCAATTGCTTTCATGTATATGTTAAAAGGACACATTTGTTGTACTGTATGTAATTTGCAATAATAGAATTTAATCATATACAGTCTTAAAAACAGTTGTTTTTTTATTTCTCTGAATTAAATAGCCTGCTTTGGGTCCTTATGAAATCTTGGTTGAATCTGTTTACTAATTCATAATTTTTAAGAAAGTATGTTGTGGTACACATTTAAATACTGCTTAGTAATTTATAACAAGCTGTGCAAGTAGTACATTATTAGTAAAAATTTTCTAACACTTTAATTTATTGGATATAAATACATTTTTATGCATTTACAAATAAACACATTACACTTATTTATAAAGCTTTTTTATATTTATATTTTGTGTGTGCATGACTTTTAAATGCATGTCCCTTCACTAAATTTTTTTCATTACTAAGACTGCTTTTCTCTGGTGCCATAGGCTTTCATTGGAAACAGCTAGAGTTTAAACTTGACTTCTGAAATTAAAGACTAAAAATGTTTTGAATTTTTGACTTTTAAAGATTAAAAACTTAATGAGCAATGAATTGGAACTTAGATAAGCAATAGCAAGCTTGAGTATTTGTTTTTCTTGCCTTGTCACAGAAAGATTTTCAGGTGTTTTTCTAAATATTTGACTCGTATTTGTTTTGTTTTGTCTTGTCATGGGGCAAGAGGAAACAATCTAACAGTGACTTTCATATACCTCACGTAAAGATAGTTATAACTTCGTGTTTGAAAAGAGTTAAAAATCTTACAATTTGTTAGTATAAGAAATGGAGACATAGTTGATATCAAAAGGTTAAGGAAAGCCTAAATAATGACTTTTTCAGTCTGTAACAAACTGGAAGAAAACTGTATAGATTTTGCACTGACATTCCTGCTTTGGGGCCTGGTAGAGGGGAATTTAATGAGGTTACTGTAATTTGTGTTGAGCGAACCTTCCCTAAATTTTTGGTTGACCACAATATACTTCCAAAATGTACTATCTTTTGAATTCTCTCCAAATACTGTAAAATAATGACTTCTAGTCTACCCAGGGCATGATAGTGGTGGGAGAAGATGTGGTGAGAGCACCATCTCAGCTTCCAACCCTCTGCCCTTCAATCTTTGCTTTAGTGGACAGTTTGCTAAGGGTCTTGGATCCCGTTAAGTGTGTGGGGTGTGAAAAGAGGTTGAAGATCACTTCAGTATAAGACCATAGGTGGCTCCTAGGAAATGGGCTCTGTAATTTATGAAAAACAGACTGTAAATTACTTCTTAAAGACATGCTTTATGCAGTCAGGCTGGAGAAGGCAACAAAACTTATCAGTGTCTGTGAAACAAGCCTTTGGGGGTAGGGACAGAAGTTGGCAGGGCAGCTGAGACTTCCATGCCCCTTGAAATCCTCTATCGCACATGACACTAGTGCTTTCTTACAATATTTTGATTCCACTCTTAGACTTTCATTGGATTTTTTTAAATGTCCTGTTTGTATTTTGATAAATTTGGTAATTGAAAAAAAAACATTAAAAAAACAGCTAAAGTATATTTTGAAATACAAAAGGTACACCAGTTTTTTAAGAATTTATTTTTTTTAATCTATAAGCTTTTAAAAATAAAATGGATACCTAATAAATACTCATTTTTGCTTTTATATGATTTAGTTAATAGAGTTACATTGTTTTAAACATCTTATGAAGAGAAGTATGTCTTACTAAGTGAAATTTTTTCATGTCGAAGATTTAATGCTTAGATGATAACATACACTTTCTGAAGTTTTTTTTAATTAATAAAATATACAGCAGCTATAGATTCACAAATTGAATGGAAAGTACAAAATTCCCATATACAACCCCATCTGTACACAACACAGATACTGCATACTTTTCAAAATTGTTAATGTTAGCTAATAAATTTTGTGAGTCTAATAATATCTTAAACAGTTCACCCTCAAAAGTGTTCTTATATTGCTGAATTATAGGTTGTAGATGTTATTTTTATTTTCTATGAACTAATTCAGAACAGGTATAGCTTTTCTAAAGCTTTTAAATTAGGGCAAATGAATATTCTAATAATGTCAGGTCACATTTCCTAAAATATTCCTAGAATCAAGTCAGGTCACATTTTCTAGAAAATAGCTATTTAAACAATCAATCAATCAGTCATTATTATAAAGACAATATACTTTGCGTAGGGTTAAGTAACATTTTTTACAATTTAATTTCTTCAGTAACTGTACTTTTAGTATGGTTATTGAAAACCTGTTTTACAGTACCTTCTCTCTAAATGATATCAGTTCTCACCTTCACTGGCATGCTTGTGTTGGTGTAAGGATTTTACCTATTTTAGAGATTCATTTTCATCTAAAAATTAAATGATAAACAATAACTTGATTTACAGTCAATTTTTTTTTTTGTTTTATGTGGTAACTTTTGCTGAATTTTGTATTGTTTATTGGGAAAGTGTTGATGAAAAAGGGTGGTGGTGAATTTTCTTATTGCTTTAGCTAGACAAAATTTGAAGTGGACATTCTTAATTGACACAGAACATAAGAATTTACTTTAGTGCTACCTCACTGGCTTCGATTTGATTTTTTGACAGTTACCTTTCTTTTGTTTTTACTTTAATCACCTAGTAAAAGTATTTATAAGATAATGTCTAAGAAAATGGATGTCCAAGTAAATTGGAGCCTTGATTTTAATGCTGTAATATTTCAGCAGTGGCATCCAAAGTTAGTGGATAAGAAATACTAGCAAGATCTTGTAAAAATACAGTTTCACACATGAACTCAAAGAGTGACATAACCACAAAATGCTTATCTATTTTTTTTCTCTGCAGTGTGTTGGTGAAAATAGTTTGGATATAGTGATGGAGAATAGACATTAGAAGTGGTTTTTCAAAACAGTTTCCTTTGTGACCTAAAGTGATTTTGCATTGTGAAGACATTATGCTTGTTGAGTCCTACCTAGGTCCACGCAATACCAACTTTTTAATTTTATTCATATAATTATAAGCTTTATGTGATTTTAATGAGGTCCAGCCAGAGGATAACAAACATCCTAGTTATATGTATTGAATTGCTTTATTACAGGGTTTACAGATTGGTACTCGAGAATTAGAAGAGATGGGAGCAAAATTTTGTGTTGGTCTGTTGCGTTTGAAAAGACTGACATCTCCGTTGGAATATAATCTGCCTTCCAGCCTGCTTGACTTTGAAAATGACTTGATTGAATCAAGCTGCAAAGTAACTAGGTAAGGTACAATTGTTTTATTCTGTTATTATGTTGTAGTATACTGTTAGATTTCATTAAATGGAGTAAGCAAGAAAGCCACAGAGACTTTAGACAGCCAAGAAAATTTTTAGAATTAATATAAAGTTTACACATCTAATGTTTGTTCCAATTGTGATATTCTTGATTCTCTTAACATTGACATTTGAATGAGATTTTAATGAAATATCCTTATATTTTGAATGATCTTTTTAGTGACTTTAATGGTTTACCCTTAACCCAAAAATAGCCAATGTGGAAATAGTATTTACATTAGATGATATCTAAATTAAGAGGATTTGGAGTCAAGATTCATACTTCAAAAGAAACTGTATTTTGTTTGTTATCTACGTACATCAGATGGCTTTCTAATAACCTTCTGGTTACATACATGGGAAACAGCTAATTTAGTGTCCTTTTAAAAATTTAATGATATCTGCCAAGGATTCTAGGTAAATTTGTGCTCCTAAAATTAAATACATAGTAAAATTTTATCAAAGGCTCAGAGACAATTCAGTATCATAATTCTTAATCATATAACCTATTCCATAAATTGCCCTTTCATTTTGTTGATTGTTTCCTTTGCTTCTTAGTTTGATGTGCTCACACTTCTTTATTTTTCCTTTTGTTGCCTTTGTAGTCATTGCTAAGGCCAGTGTCAAAGAGCCAAGCCCCTGTATTTCTTCTAGGAGTTTTATAATTTCATATCTTACATTGTAGTCTTTAATCCATTTTGAATTGATATTTGTGTATGGTCTAGGAAGTACAGTTTCATTATTTTACATGTGGCTATCCAGTTTTCCCAACACCATTTATTGAAGAAACTATCCTTTCCCAATACATATTTCTGAGATACATACTCCTTTGTTGAAAATTAATTAACCATGTGTGCATGGGCTTATTTCTGGGCTCTCTATTCTGTCTGTTCATCTATATCTTTTTATATGCCAATACCATTCTGTTTTGAATACTATAGCTTTGTAAGATAGCTTGAAATCAGGAAGTGTGATTTCAGTTCCTGAAATCCTCCAGTTTTGTTGTGCTTTCTCAAGGTTACTTTGACTATTTAGGGGTTTTGTGATTCTGTACAAATTGTAGGATTTTTTTTTCTGTTTCTGTGAAAAATGCTATTGTTATTTTGATAGGGATTGCATTGAATCTGTAGATTGCTTTGGGTAGTATGGACATTTTAACATTAATTCTTCCAATCTGTGATTATAGAATATTTTCCATTTATTTGTGTCCCCTTCAGTTTCTTTCATCAGTGTCTTATAGTTGTCATTGTACAGATATTCCAACTTTTTGGCTAATTCATTCTTAACTATTTTATCGTTTTTCTTGCTGTTGTACATGTGATTATTTTTCTAAATTTCTTTCTCATTGTTCATTGTTGGTGTATGGAAATGCAACTGTTTTTTGTGTATTGATTTTGTATTTTGCAGCTTTACTGAAATTCTGTATTATTTCTAACATTTTTTAGTGGAGTTTTGGGGATTTCCAAATATAATATCATGGGATATGCAAATAGATAAATTTTAATTCCTTTCTGATTTGGATGTCCTTTATTTCTTTTTCTTGCCTAATTGCTCTGGCTAGGATTAAAGTGAGCATCCTGTCTTGTTTCTGATCTTAGAGGAAAAGCTTTCCTCATTTCCTCATTGAGTATGATACTAGCTGTGGGCTTAGAATATATCACCTTTATTATATTGAAGTGTGTTCCCTCTTTACCCAATTTGTTGAGAATTTTTATCATGAATGGGTATGAGTTTTGTCAAATGTTTTTTCTGCATCTATTGAGATGATTATATGATTTTTATCCTTCACTTTTTTAATGTGGTATATCACATCAACTTGCTTATGTTGAGCCATTCATGCATCCCTAGGATGAATCCCATTTGATCATGGTGTTTGTATGATCCTTTTAATGTACTGTTGAATTCAGTGTCCTAATAGTTTATTGAGGATTTTTGCATCCAAGTACATCAGGGATATTGGCCCTCAGTAATTCTTCTTTTCTGAATTCCTTGTCTGGTTTTAATATCGGCATAGTGGTGGCCTTGTAAAATGAGTTTGGAAGTGTTTCCTCTTCTATTTTGGGAGTAGTTTGAAAGGACTGATATTAGTCCTTTAAATGTTTGGTAGAATTCATCATTGAACCATGTGATCTTGGACTTTTGGAATTTGTGATTACTGATTCAATCTCTTTACTAGTCAGACTTTTTATTAATTTATTCATGATTCAGTCTTGGTAGGTTACATGTTTTTAGGAATTTACCCATTTCTTCTAGATTGTCTAATTTGTTGGTATATAATTGTTCATAGTAGTCTCTTAGGATCCTTTGTACTTTTGTTGTATCAGTTGTAATGTCTCCTCTTTCATTTATATATTTTTCTGTGTCTTCTCTTTTTCTTGAGAAGTCTAGGTAACAGTTTGTCTTTTCAGAAAATTAGCTCTTAAGTGTCACTGATCTTTCTTATTGTCTTTTATGTCTCTATTTCATGTATGTCTGCTTTGATATTTGTTAGTCCTTAGCTCTGTTAACTTTGCGCTTAGTTTGTCCTTTTTTAGTTCCTTGAGCTGTAAAGTTAGGTTGTTGGCTTGAGATCTTTCCTTTTTCTTAATGTAGCTGTTTATTTCTCTAAAATTCCCTTTTAAAACTGCTTTTGCTATATTCTATAAGTTTTGGTATGTTATGTTTCTATTTTCATTTGTCTAAAGATTAAAAAAAAATTTTTTTTGACTCTGTGGTTGTTCAAGATCTTGTTGTTTGATCGTCACATACTTGTGAATTTTCTAATTTTCTTCTTCTGATTGACTTCTAGTTTCATACCACTGTGGACAGGAAAGATGCTTGATAGTATTTCAGTCTTCTTAAGTGTATTAAGGCTTGTTTACGGCCTTACATATGATTTACCCTGGATAATGTTCCATGCTTGTTTGAGAAGAATATGTTTGTGCTACTGTTAAATGGAATGTTCTGTACACATCTGTTAGGTCTATCTGGTCTAATACGTAGTTTAATTACAGTGTTTCCATACTGAATTTCTGTCTGGATGATCTTTCCATTTTTGGAAGTGGTATTTGAAGCTCCTGATATTACTGTATTCCTATCAGATCTGTTATTATTTGCTTTATATATTTAGGTGCTCTTATGTTGGGTGCATAAATATTTACAATTACTATATCCTCTTGTTTAATTGACCCTTTTATCATTATATAATGACCTTAATTTTCTCTGTACAGTCTTGGGCTTAGTCTATTTTTTCTGTTTTAATTATAGTTACCCCTGTTTTAATTGTAGTTATCCCAGCATACCAAAACTTTTGGTTTCTATTTGCACCAAATACCTTTTTCCGTCACTTCACTTTTCAGTCTATGAGTGTCCTTTACACTGAGGTGAGTCTCTTGTAGGCAACATAGTTAGGTTTGTCTCCTTAATCCTTTCAGCCATTTTGTGTTTTTTGATTAGGAAATTTAGTCCATTTACATATGAAGTAATTATTCGCAGGTATGGGCCTACGAATTGCCATTTTGTCAATTGTTTTCAGGTTGTTTTGTAGTTTCTTTGTTCTTTTCTTCCTCTCTTTCTCTTCCTTTGTTAATTAATGATTTCCTATAGTGGTATGCTTTGCTATCTTTATCTTTTGCGTATCTACTACAAGTTTTTGAATTGTGGTTACCATGAGGTTTACATAAAACATCTTATATACATTTATATAACAGCATATTTTAAGATGATAATTACTTACTTTGGAATTCATACCAAAGCTCCACACCCCTACATTTTATGTTTTGATGTCACAGTTTGCATCTTTGTACATTGTATACCCATTAACAAATTATTGTAATTATAGCTTTTTAATACTTTTGTCTTTTAACCTTTGTACTAGATTTATAAGTGATTAACCCATCGCCATTGCAATATTAGAGTATTCTGAATTTTAACTATGATTTACTTTTACTAGTGAGTATGATACTTTCATTTGTTTTCCTGTTACTAATTAACATCCTTTTGTTTGAGCTTGAAGAACTCCCTGTAATATTTCTTGTAAGTTTGGTCTAGTGGTGATGAACTCCTTCAGCTTTTGTTTGCCTGGAAGACTCTCTAGTCTCTCCTTCAGTTGTGAAGGACAACTTTACTGGGTAGAGTTTGCTTGGTTTTTTTTTTTCAGCACTTTAAATATATCATCTTGCTGCTTTCTGGTCATTGATTAAGATGTTATCTGCCAAACTTGTTTATTATAAAGTTAGTTTTTTTCCTTGTTGTAATTAATAAGTATTTTTATGGGGATGTGTTTGAAACTATGTTAATATCCCATTTCTCATCAAATTCTCAATTCATTTTATTCATAATTTATTCATTTTTAAATTTACATATATTGGACTTATGATTTATAATTTTAATTCATTAGGCTTTAATATGTTAACTATATTAATTTAGACACTCAAATTTTCCCTGATTTGGTCCCTTCAAACAACAACTCTGTGTTTTTGACATGTGTCATCATTCTTTGAGTACTTCCTTGAGAGAGTGATTAAAGAGACTATCTTTTCCCCATTGTGATTCTTGTTATACTTTGACCATATATGCATGAGTTTATTTCTAGGCTCTCTATTCTGTTTAATTGATCTCTATATATCTATTCTTGTGCCAGTACCATACTATTTTGATTACTGGACCTTTGTAGTATGGTTTGAAGTCACAGAGTGTGATACTTGTACTTTTGTTCTTCTTTATCAAGATTCCTTTGGCTATGCAGGATCTTTTGTGGTTCCACACAAATTTTATGATTATTTGCTCTATTTCATTGAAAAATGCCATTGGTGTTTTGATAGGGATTGCATTGAATGTATAGATTGCTTTGAGTACTATAGATATTTTAACAATATTCTTCCTATCCATGAGCATAGACTCTTTCCATTTATTCATGTCTTCTGCAATTTCTTTCATCAGTGTCATAGTTTTTAGAGTGTTAGCTTTTGAGATTCACTGTGTTTATGAGAAATTATAGAATTTCCTTTTCAGTGAAGCCTGTGGTTGAAAATTATGTTTTATATTCCCAGGCATTCATGTGAAGTACCACACATAAAATTCTACCCAGTTGTATTTGTTGTATAATAAAAATTCCAGCTGATATAACACTTAAGTCTGCATTATATCTTTCCTAAGTGGTGTGTTTCTTCTAGGTCAAAGCTTGGAATATTGGTAAAACTCATTTAAAAGCTTAAAGGTACATAATATTTTCATACTTAGAAGAAGTGTTTTTATTTTACCAGTTACCTAAACTATTAAACAGTCCTCAGTCGGCCTCATTTAAAGAATTTGAGAACTGATATGACATTTAACAGTACTTCTCATTAGGATGTTATGGTTGTAACTAAATTTCAGGATACAGATATGGAAGAAATATTCGAAGTTTGAGTATGTTTAAAACATTATAGGAAAGTGAAGTTGAAAAATACTGAACTCTATACAATATTATATCACAATAAAAAATATGCCCATGTTAAATGAAGCCTAGTTACTGAGTTATAATTGAACAGCATTTGGACATTGTTTTTTAATTCAGATGAAACTCACACAGCATAAAGTTAACCATTTTAAAGCATACAGTTTAATGGTGCTTAGTAGCACCATTCTAATATTGTACAGCCATCAATCACCTTTATCTAGTTCCAGAACTTCCATTACTCTGCTTTCTGCCTCTGTGGATTTACTTGTTCTGGATATTTCAAATAAATGGAACAATACAGTGTGTGAACTTTTGTGTCTGGCTTCTGTAATCTAATTTGTTTTTGAGGTTTTATCCATATTGTAGTATGTATCGATACTTAATTTATTTCTGTACATACAGCTTGTACATTAGAAAATATGATGAGAAATTGTTCCTAATGTAGCTATTAAGATAAATAGGACTTAAACTGGAGAACACCTTTAAAATATGTTTAGCATTAGGTCTATGTTGCATTGATACTTTAAAAAATCTAATTTGATGTGTTTTGATAAAGGTAGAGTACATTTCTAATAAGGTATAGGGAATGAGTACAGGTCTGAGGACCAGTTAACATCATAATGTTCCTTGATTAAAAGCTCTATCCCGTCCCTAACATTCTAAAAGAGACTGGCTGAAAGTTATTGGTAAAGTAGTACAAAAACATTGGTTGCTACAAACTATTCACACTAGGATGAAATATTAACCTCTGTATTATGCATATTTCTTTATGTGAAGCTAATTTTTATTTATAAATGTGTGGGAACTTTTCCTTCTGAGAAAATTACATTAATACTTTTAAAAGAAAAAATTACTCATGACACTTGTTAAAGAATGGGAAGGCGGACTTTATTCAGGAGGACTACTGCAATAGGGTTTTACAATAGGGGAGCGAGATTGGACTCAACTCTGAATACAGTAAGCAAAAGTGGGGATTTATAGCCATGGAGTAGAGTAGGGGATTGGCAGTTCGAAAATTACAGGGGTAAGGGAGATTCTGGCTAAACCAACTTGACAGATTTTTTTGCTGAAAGCATGCTAGGGTGATCAGATATCGAGAGAGGGAGATTTTTGATAAACTGACTCAACAAGATTCTTGCTAAAATTGTACTAAGGAGGTAGAGCCACTGGACTAAGGACAGAGCTCAAGATTAGGTCCTAGTCAGAAAGAGAACTCAGAGGAGCCTGACTTAAGTTTGGTCAAGGAGAGAGTTTTTGCCAGTATAGATCATTTGTGGCCACATGTTAACAGCAATATCTAATATCTAGCTATATAGTAAAGCTTACTGGTATTTATGTGCATTATTTTTAATGTACAGTTTACCATTTTATCCAGCTAACCTTAAAGAAGAGATCTTCCTTTTTGGCCATGATGCACATACTGTATCTGTTTTGTATTTCTGAGAGTTGTTTTTTGCTACCACATAGAAAATTCTTACAGCTGTGATTGCTCTTGGACTATTTTCTAGGCAGATAAATCATGCCATGTAATTAAAGGTCATATCACAACTTCTAGTCCACTGGAAATCATAGATGCTTATAATTAAAAAGTGAACCATTTGTGTTTTTGTGCTAAGTCAGTGAAATGCTATTGTACCCCAAACACAGAGGAGATTGAAGTTATCTGGAAAATAAGTTTGGGACATATGTGAGCACTTTAGGACTCTAGGCCAGATTTAATTTTAAGGGAAGCTTTGAGACTTGGCATAGGAGAAGAAAATGATCCTTATCATTGAGATCCTGATGGGTATCAAGTTGGTGATTGTCAGTCTCTAAGACTATGTGTCCAAGGAATTTGGTGACCATATATGTTTACAGATATTTGTGTGTTCTATTGTTTTGTAGCCTCTTGGAAGAATGAAGTTACTCCTCTCACATAAATGTCTATTTGAGACTTCAAAATAATAGTATAGTATATGCCAGAATAAGGAAGAATACATATCCCTTCAAAGAGGATTCATTCTATCTTCTTGGCAGCCCATAGAGTAGGACAGGCAGGTGGCTGCTTCCCAGTGAGGGACAAGCTGACCTGAGGTAGGTTTGTGAAGTTTGTGAAACTTGTTGAACCCTTGGTTCACTCCCCACTCCTACCCCTTCCTAAGTGCTACCCACCAGAGGTCAGCATTGTAGGCTTACAGCTTCTTGCCTCAGCGTCACTAGACTGCCAAGAATCCTCTTTTTATTTGTTTTGTTTTGTTTTGCTGCTTTCTGCTTTGCTTTTCAGTCTTTCACACTGTGTATTTTAAGAATTTGTCAAACACCTCCAGGGTAAGACTCTTGGGGTCACACCTCTGCAACTCCCTTCTTTTAGGAAACTGGGCAGCTCAGAACTCTAGTTTTTGCCTCCAATCCTTTGAAATTGCTGACAGCTCTGATGACTTGTCTGCTCTTAGTGGCTGCCTTTGCCTGGCCTTGGCTTCCTCTGGTCTAAGCCCCATATATCTGTTCTCTTGGTTGACTTTGCTTTCTATCCTTTCACTGTAATAAGTCATAGCTGTGAATACAGCTGTATGCTAAATCCTGTAAGTCTTCCTGCAAATCATTAAACCTGGGGTTGTCTTGGGACCCTTGACAGGAATACCCAATTTGGATTTCTAAGTTTGATTGTTACCTCAGAGATTCTAGTGTTCTACTGAGAATGATTGGAAACAGATGGTATTGTAATTCTTTTATACATGTGCAAGGTTCAGACATGATGACCGAGGTCATTATCTGTTCCATCTAGTAAGTCCTGACAGAACCAGGAATTGTGTCCAGGTCTAATTCTAAAATTCCCCTGTACTTTCATTATCTGTTGTATCTTCGAAGTGACTAAGAAAAATTACTTAAAGAGGAATGGTTTCAGTTTTTGATGCTATTCTGCATTTTTGGGGAGTTTAACTGTTTAACATTCTTATTATGTATAAGGAATGTTTTTAGATTAATAGCAAAGTAAGTTGGAGTTTAGTGACTCAGTTAATTATTTCAAAGGCAGCTGAGTTACACATTTTTTCAGCAAATTATCAATAAATCAGCACTTTACTTTCCTTTTTTTCCAAATAACTAAAATATTCTGGTTAGAAATTCTATACATTAACTATGTGTCCATGTATATGCATGTGCAAGTGTCTATAAGTACTTGTGTGTGTGTGAAAAATGCCATAGGTAGAGCCATTTTAAAATAGAGCTGGATCAGCCACTTCAGAGGAACTGCCTTGCAACTCTTGGTTTCCAAACCTTTGAAGTCGGCCAAACTGCCAACATTCCAAGAAGTTGGCAAGAATGAGAAAATCCTGTTTGAAAACATTGATGAAAGTGAACTTCTGTTTAGTGACCATTTAGCTTGACTGATCATTGAAGTAGAAATCTAGCCCTGCTTTTCAGCACCAGTGAACTTTTCTCAAAAACAACTTACCTGATCTTTCATTTTTTCTGTAAGAACCCTGAGTCCACCTCCTATAATTGGGATACTCTTTGGATTTCTCCCTAATTCTGTGTACCCCAAATTGCAGTTCTTTGATCCCAAATAAATGCACTGCCTCTTGACCTGGTTCCTTGTTTTAGGTTGACATGTATATGCTGTGTGATCACTTAAGCCTGACAGAAACTGTTACCTGTATTTCCTATGGATAATTTTGTTTACTCTGTGGTATTTAGTAGATGCTATATCTCTTATTAATTAGATGGGAATCAAGTTGTATAAGTAAAATATTCTCTAATATGTGTGCAGATAGGATTTTATTTTACCTTAGACTGACATTTCAATACAGGAAAGACACAATTAGCAAGTCACAAATTGCTGATAAGTTAGGCAATGGAATGTTTTTCTGTTTGTGCATTAGTTTCAGAAATTCTGCCTTAGGATACCTTTATTGTGCTGTCTTCAAACAGGTAGGTCAGTCCCAAAATCATAGAAGAGTGCATGGTTGAGGGAGGCTTCTGAGGTTCTAAGGCAAGGCAGTATTTTTAGTTCTGTTGGCTTGGGGCAGCCCATTGCCTGGGCTCTTTAAGAATTGAGAAAGATTGAGGAACTTTTTCTTTAACAAGGTAGGTTTTATTAGTATCATAATAACATTTTATATGTGTATAGCGTAAGAGTTTCCAGATGCTTTCACATTTACTACCTAATTTGAGCCAAACAACTTTGTGAGGCAGTTGGACTGATACTATTTTTATACTTGGGATAAGCTGGTGTTTGGAGAGAGTGAGCGAGTTGCTAAAGGTCACGCATTTCGGTTAGTTGAAGAGTAAGGGCACAAACCCAGAACTGGCAGCTCCACACGTGGTGTTTTCTGTCTTTCATCCTCGCCTAGGTAATAGAGCTAAAGGTCTGTATTCTGGTATCTCAGTGTCAAATTGGCTGTAGAAGAAGTAGATGGATATATGTTTGAGGGAGATAGTGTATTTTTTAGGTTTAACTTTGTGTGGTGCTTAATAGTTTAACATAAGGATAGCCAGAAAACTTTCTGAATCTGGGTGAAGTAGAATTTCTTATTATCTTTAGAAATCAGTTGGAATTATACACCTTTTCTGGATCATAATGATCCCATGCAATGGAGAAGTTCAGCGCATTCGTCCTGTAAGAAGGCCCTTTGGGTGAAGGTTTTGGTATTGTTCTTGAAGCACATGAGGAGGACTTGTTTTTGGACTAAAATACTTTTCTCTTGTAGAATGAAATGTTTCTTATTGAAATGATTTTGGCTTAGTCACCTTTACCATAAGAATTATGAAAATCCAGACTAGAAGGATGTGAAGGTAGGTGGATGTAGCACAACGGGGCAAAAGGAGTAAGCATGCAAAGAGAATGAGGGGCACAAGGGGGTAGTAATGGGAGAGCAAGGTCATAAAGCCTTTCTCTTCTCAGAAGGTTATTGTGAGGTAGTGTATAGGAGGGCACTTCCTAAGTTGTAAAGCTCAAAACATGTATCAGAATTATTAGTAAAAGTAAAGGTGAATTGCTATGATTGTTCTTCTGCCTTAAGTTTTTTTTTTAACTAAAGTCAAGTCAGTGGGATGGGGTAACATAAAAATCAAGGATCCTATTAACCTAATAACTTACTTCTCATAAGTCATTCAGCAGACATTTGTTTGGGGCCTACAATGTGGCAGCCCTTCTAGGAGCTGACAGGAGGTACTGAGATGGCAATGTCACAGTTCCTGACTTGGGTCCCCATGCTTTTGCCCTAAGGACAGGCCCACAAGAAGATGGTTTCAGCTGCATATGGAAGTGGCCAGGAAGAAGTTGGTGCAGGTACGAAGGGAATATAGAGGAAGGGCACTTGCCCCAAGATGGGCTTTAATAAAGGAAGAACATCTAAAGATGAGCCTGAGCTCTACTTTGAAAGAAATCTGGGTAGTTAGGAGAAGAAAGGTGGAAAGTGTGTCCTAAGCAGAGGAAACATATCAGTGAAGACTTGTAAAGTTGAGGCAAGGAGTGGTCCGCAGATTGATTGCCAGGACTTGCTTGCTGAGGATTTTGGTTTTAGGGCTCACTAAGTGAGGGATACTGACAATACTACAAGAGCTGCAGGCTTGCAGGGAGACAGTGAGTTCAGCTGTGAATACACTGCATTTGAGGTTTGTGGGCGATAGCCATGGGAATATACTAGCAATCCCTGCCTGTCCAGAAGAGGTTCAAGGGAAATGTTGGGGCTGGAAATTTGAATTTGGAAATGATCAGAATACAAATTAAAATATATGAGTTCACTCACAGAGGGCATGCACATAAGAACAATTGGCCATGAGAGCATTTTTATAAGCACCTGTTTTTGAGGGGGATGAGGACCTGAAGAACACTTGATCAACACTAAGAAGGAGCAGAGGGGAATGAAGCAAACCAGAAGAAAGGGGTGTTAATTCCACTGTTGAGTATAGCAGAGAGATCTAGAAAAAAATGGGCTGGAATGTGGAACTGGACTAGCAGTACGAAGACTGCTTTTAGTGGAGTGATTGATGGAGGTCGTGATCTTCCTTCCCTTTCCTCTATCTCTGTATTCCCCTAGCTTCTTAAACCTGGGTGTACTGATCTCTCCTCTACCTTCCCCCCAGCACATATGTTAAGTTGGCACTGATGGCCTGGTTACCATTGCTGGACGTACTCTGAATATTTCAGCTGTAGTCTAGACCTTAAGAAAGTTGGACCTAGGAACATGCTTTTGTTTGGATCTGCAGAAACAGGAGTCTAATATCAGGGCCCATGTGGGTTACAGGAATGGAGTAAGGGGATAAAACCAGCCCATTTCTGGGATCAGATGGGTGATGCCAGAATATGAGTAAAGTTCATGCTACAGTCCGCACATGAATGAGCCAAGATCAGGAACTCGTAAGCTCAAATCATTTTCTGGATCTAGAACCCTGAACTTTCCTTTTTATGGGATTTCGTTTAAATTTTCAGGAGCTTGCCTTCCAGGCTCTCTGAAAAGTGCCAATCAGTATCTGATACCAGCATTACTCCAAGTCTTCTTGCTGTCCAGGAGCTTTTTTTTTTTTTTAACTAAAGTCAAGTCAGTGGGATGGGGTAACATAAAAATCAAGGATCCTATTAACCTAATAACTTACTTCTCATAAGTCATTCAGCAGACATTTGTTTGGGGCCTACAATGTGGCAGCCCTTCTAGGAGCTGACAGGAGGTACTGAGATGGCAATGTCACAGTTCCTGACTTGGGTCCCCATGCTTTTGCCCTAAGGACAGGCCCACAAGAAGATGGTTTCAGCTGCATATGGAAGTGGCCAGGAAGAAGTTGGTGCAGGTACGAAGGGAATATAGAGGAAGGGCACTTGCCCCAAGATGGGCTTTAATAAAGGAAGAACATCTAAAGATGAGCCTGAGCTCTACTTTGAAAGAAATCTGGGTAGTTAGGAGAAGAAAGGTGGAAAGTGTGTCCTAAGCAGAGGAAACATATCAGTGAAGACTTGTAAAGTTGAGGCAAGGAGTGGTCCGCAGATTGATTGCCAGGACTTGCTTGCTGAGGATTTTGGTTTTAGGGCTCACTAAGTGAGGGATACTGACAATACTACAAGAGCTGCAGGCTTGCAGGGAGACAGTGAGTTCAGCTGTGAATACACTGCATTTGAGGTTTGTGGGCGATAGCCATGGGAATATACTAGCAATCCCTGCCTGTCCAGAAGAGGTTCAAGGGAAATGTTGGGGCTGGAAATTTGAATTTGGAAATGATCAGAATACAAATTAAAATATATGAGTTCACTCACAGAGGGCATGCACATAAGAACAATTGGCCATGAGAGCATTTTTATAAGCACCTGTTTTTGAGGGGGATGAGGACCTGAAGAACACTTGATCAACACTAAGAAGGAGCAGAGGGGAATGAAGCAAACCAGAAGAAAGGGGTGTTAATTCCACTGTTGAGTATAGCAGAGAGATCTAGAAAAAAATGGGCTGGAATGTGGAACTGGACTAGCAGTACGAAGACTGCTTTTAGTGGAGTGATTGATGGAGGTCGTGATCTTCCTTCCCTTTCCTCTATCTCTGTATTCCCCTAGCTTCTTAAACCTGGGTGTACTGATCTCTCCTCTACCTTCCCCCCAGCACATATGTTAAGTTGGCACTGATGGCCTGGTTACCATTGCTGGACGTACTCTGAATATTTCAGCTGTAGTCTAGACCTTAAGAAAGTTGGACCTAGGAACATGCTTTTGTTTGGATCTGCAGAAACAGGAGTCTAATATCAGGGCCCATGTGGGTTACAGGAATGGAGTAAGGGGATAAAACCAGCCCATTTCTGGGATCAGATGGGTGATGCCAGAATATGAGTAAAGTTCATGCTACAGTCAGCACATGAATGAGCCAAGATCAGGAACTCGTAAGCTCAAATCATTTTCTGGATCTAGAACCCTGAACTTTCCTTTTTATGGGATTTCGTTTAAATTTTCAGGAGCTTGCCTTCCAGGCTCTCTGAAAAGTGCCAATCAGTATCTGATACCAGCATTACTCCAAGTCTTCTTGCTGTCCAGGAGCTTTTCTGGTTTGATCTTAGGCATCTTTGTTACTCCTAAATCCTATTTCCTTCCTTTTGTTTCCCCATTGACTTACAATTTATAAGATGAGGTTTTTCCTTCAAACTGTTTCCCTTAGTTCAAACTGATTAATTTTCTAGTATTCTGCTCCCCAGGAGGACTAGGTCCTTGCTCTGATCCCAGTGTAGTGGTTGGGCTTCCTGCAGCCAGTTTCAGTTATGCCATCTTTTCCTTGGTGATGAGAGTTTTGGGGATGGGGATCGAAATTCTGCCGTCAGTAGATCTCCTGAATGGTGCTTGCCTGCCCACTCACCGACTGCATGGCTTTTATGCTCTTCCTGGATGTTGGGAGGTCCCATGATACCACTAGGTGTCCACTCTGCCCTGGTCACTGTGCCTGGTCACTGGAGTTAGCCTGTGCTGTCCTGGTTGGTTTCCCCGGCCCCTGGACCATGAAGCGCATGACTTTTGAGCAAATCTGTCTCCTTCCTTGCGTTTCCTTGTTCATGTCTTCTTGTTAGACCATCTCCAAGAAGAAATAAATAAGTATGATGCAAGACATTTGTCTCTTGCTTTCTGTCCTCACTTCTCTCTGTCCCCCTCCTTTGCTTCAGCTGAAGATTGCATCTATTCTATGACTCTTCCATCTATTCTGAGAATCACCGGGGACACCCTGAGAATTTGAAACAACAAGGTCAAGAAGGAGGAATGAATCACTCTTTTTCAATAGAAAGAATAATTGTCATTTTAAAAGGCAAATCATTTTTTCTTTGGATCTTTTCTTAAGACCTAGCAGGTTCATGGTAAATATTGTAGTTGCATAATTGAAAACTGTGAAATTGTTCTTGTGCGTGTTAGGTGTGTTGTAAAGTCTCAGTACTCTGGGCCACTCAGCTTGATTTATCAGGACTGGGCTGTCGTAGTGCAAACCCCGAACTTTTAGAGGAAGTTTTCTCTACAAGATGAAGGTGGTTTTGCAGTATATATTTAATGAGTGAGATTAGAATAATTCCAGGAGAAAAGATTCTCTCTCATCAGATGAGTTTGGGTTTCTCTTCTCAGAAAATTAAAACCATATAATGCATTCACTGTCTTTTCTGCCTAAACTTCCAGATACCTGAATTGAATTTAATATTCAGTTGCAGGAATTCCTTCCATTCAGGTGCCTCACAACATCTGCTTCTCTGTTTATTTTAACAGATTATTGTTCCCTTTTTATTGTCTCATTTTATAACTTTTAATTGCAACAGTGATGGGAAATCCCTTTTGGAAGCAGGTGGAATATAAATAAACATACATCTATATGAAATTGAGAGAGCTTTGGTCACCAAATTGGGAAATAAAATGTTTCTCTAGTGTTTCTTTGATATGGTGTGTGTGTGTGTGTGTGTGTGTAAAATTTCCCCAGTAGGGAGAAATCCAAATAATGTGACTTTGGCAGAGGAAAGAATGTTACTCTAGTGAAAAGCTTCTCTTAATCCCAAATAACCTACTTAATGAAATATTTAGAAGCACTTAGTGCTTTTAAGCAAATATCTTCTGTGTCCCAAGGGAATGTAATTAATCCAGGTGTGGCGTGTTCACTTATTTTTCATTTTTATTCTTGACTGATGGAAGCTGTGAGGATGCATATATGGGATGTTTTTATGGCAAATAATCACTTCATAGACT